AGAATAAAATAGATGCAAACAACAGCAAATTGGAAGATTCAAACGATGAAATTAGTGCTGTGATGAAATCTTTTTGAAAAAAAACATCTCTTTTATTTAAAATTTTTAAAAATTGACTAATATTTGTTATATATTTATTAATAATAATTTTGTATACGAGACAAGTTTTCTTGATTCTTAATAGAAAATGGGTGAGTAATTCACTTTATAAATCAATTTTTTTTGTGGTAACAATTTTTCTTTCTCGCAGCTTCTCTACCTAAATCGCCAACTCACAGTTATTTCTTGGTGAATTACATGGAACAAACAGCTCAGTATTATAAAATTGCTAAATTCATTGAACTTGTGGGGCACGCCGGATTGACGAGGCAACTGCTCGACGAAAGTGTTTTCGTAAAATTCCCAGATAAAACGATTTTATGTAATATAATTATGTCTTCGAGTGAGTAAAAAGAGGAAAAACTGAACAATTCATTATCACAAATAGATGTTGTTTTCTTTGTTGCTTTTTAGATGATGAAGATGAATTGAAAGTTGTTTTGGCCAACGTGGAAAAACACCACATTTCTACGGTAAAACAGTTCGAACAAGAGCGACCACCGAAAGCGTTTCCAAAAGGGTTTAAAGGTATGTATCCATTGATGAGCGAAGATAGCCGAAGAAGGAAGATGTACATTTTGGGTGATAACGGAACGGCGATTCCCGTAGGCAGATTAAGTCGGATGTTGTGGAACGATCACAAGACGGCAACTTACGATCTAATTAATATTGTCTACACGAAAGAAATGTTGATCGCTCACGGCATGGGACAGATGGATTTGAATCCGTTCCAAATGCAAGATATTATATCAATTGTCTCTGATAAATGCAAAGTCGAGAAATGCGATGTGCGCGAAGCAATCGATAAACACTTGATGGACTTAAAAATGAAATGCAGACAATATTTTTAAGAACATTTTACAGATTTGTTTTTTAATTTTAACGTTTTATTCATATTTTATTTATTTATATAAATCAGAAATTTTAACTTGGAAAACTTAACTATATCAAATCCGAAAAAATTCAAAAAAAGAAACTAAAATTTCGAAATATGTTTTGAATCATTGCAAATTTTCATATACTAAATTACATTAAAACATATTAGTGTTACTTAGTAATCAAAATCTTCATTAAGTTGAATAATTGTAGAGAAATTAGATGAAAATGAGTTGCAGATAAATTAGACACTTTCAGTATAATAAATTGAAGATTTAGGTAAAATTGATTAAACAATTCATCAATATTTGTACATGTTTAAAAAATAATTCATAAGTTAAATAGTTGTAAACAAATTAGACAGTTTGATTACAAAAAATAAAGATTTAGATGGAATTAATGAAATAATTCAATAAGTTAAATATTTGTAGACAAATTAGACACGTTCATTACAAAAACCTGAAGTTTTTGGTATGAAAGCTTACAATATACTTTAATAAGTTGAATAGAAATTAGTCACCTTCATTACAAAACTGAAGATTTAGAAATTTATTTAATTCAAGTCAAAAAGCAAAACCTAATATAAATAAAATCTAATATTTCTTAAAAAATCTATTAGTTATGAAGCACAAATTAATTTTTGTTTAATTAAATTTCAAAATTGTTCAAAATTATAGCATATTTTATACCAATTTTTGAATCTTTTGCAAACTTTGTTTTTCTATTAAAAAAATTATACAATTTTTTTTATTTTTTTTTTGTTCCAAATTTCACACTACAAAATAGTAAGTAAATCACACAAATTTATCAATATTGAAATAAATATGTTTAGTTACGTTCAAAAGCAAAAGTTTTAAATATTTTCTGTTTGATAATACTAAGTTTTCTTGCGTTTAATTAGAAGGAAATACAAAGTTATTAATATCATTAAAATGGGTGAGTACAATTTTCTCGTTTTCGTATCAAAATGTTTGTACTGATTTCTGTTTGTAGATACTGCAAAGAAATCTAAAGCCCATAGTCATTTCTTAGTGAGTTACGAGAAAAACTCTTTCACTTATTACAGCATTATAAAGAGCAGCGAAGTGATCAGTCCAAGAAAGTTTTCGTTCAAAGAACCTGTTTACGTCAGACTTCCCGACGTGATTGCTTTGTGCAAAATACTTATGACTTCAAGTGAGTCTCAGTCAATTCTTTTCTTCTGATACATTTCAGTTAGTTAATTGCAGATGATGTGACTGAATTGATGAGTATAGTTGTTAACATGGAGAAACACTACCATGCAGTAGTCGAAAGGTTCGAAGCGAAAAAACGCGAAATCCAAGAGGCAAGAAACGAACCATCGATCAGACAGGATGAAGACAGGATAATCACTTTCGGTCCGAACGGAACGAAAATCTCTGCAGTTCATATGAGTCGGATATATTGGAACGATTACAAGGCTGCAACGTGCAATTTACTTTACGCTGTGTTCACTGAGGAAACGTTAGCAACACACACGTTGACCGGAAGGATACGTCCAAAACCTCAGTTGGATCCGAAGAAAGTCGAGGATATTTCTGCAATCGTCAAAGAAAAGTGCGGTGTACGTATACTCGAAGTGCACGAAGTGATTGCGAAACGATGCAACGCGTTGCACATGAAATATTTAAGGCGAATGGAAAAATTAGACCAAGAAAATGATCAGTAAAATACAGGTTTTTTTTTATCATTAAAATTTTAGTGAATCATTAATATTGTAGTTATTCAATAATAATTTGAAGCTAGAATATAAATATTACCGATTTTGAATAAAAATTGTGATTGTTATATCGATTTTTCTCAAAGGCTGTTAGAAAAAAAAAACAGAAAATTTCGAAAACCGAA